GGGTGTATGGGGGTCACTGGTGTCACTGGGATGTATAGGGGTCACTGGTGTCACTGTGGGGTGTATGGGGGTCACTGGTGCCACAGGGGAACATGGGGGGTCACTGGTGTCGCTGTGGGGTGTATGGGGGTCACTGGTGTCACAGGGGAACATGGGGGGTCACTGGTGTCACTGTGGGCTATATGGGGGTCACTGGTGTCACTGGGATGTATGGGGGTCACTGGTGTCACGGTGAGGTGTATGGGGGTCACTGGTGTTACTGGTAGGTGTGTGGAGGGGTAACTGGTGCTGTTGGGAGATGAAACCTTCTTGGTTGCTTCTTTTTTTGGCGTGGTAATTTTGATTCCCAAGGAACCAAATCCCTTGGTTCCCAAGGAACCAATTAGGGACATGACCGAAATGTGGATGTACCCGCAACGGTGCGAGCTCAGCCCTTCACATTTGTCACCCTGCATTAATAAACATGTGCGCACAAATCACCCCGTCCTTAGTCATTACCAGCATGTCCCGACGGCCTGAGTGACGGCGCGGAGCAATGGCAGGGAATGAAGCAGGGAAGGAAGCGAGTTAACGTGGACGAGCAGCCGGAGGGGCCGCTGGGCCCTCGGAGAGCCCTGCCCGTGACGCCCGCTTCCCGGTAGCTCCACAGGGAGGGAGATGCGTGGATGCATCTCCATGCATCCAGGGGGAGGGAGATGCTACGTCCTCCTGCATGGAGAGGCAGAGCTCGGCATGCCGGCACCTCGGCGGAAATTCGGATCCCGCTGCACGTGGAGACGCGCCGCGGCAGCAGCTCGCGCCGCGGACGCGGAGCTGCAGGAGGGCTCGGGTTTTCTCGCCTCTCTGGCCGCAGGGCCGGAAGCGAGTCCCGTCGAGGCTCGTCTGAGTCAGCCTCGAAATGAGAGGCCGCCAGCTTGGGTGAGAATGTAACGGGGGGGAAAAAAAACATCTGTGTCATTTCTTGAGAAAATTTTCTTGAGAAAGGTTTTGTGAGTCTTGAGAAAACCCTGCAGAGAGAGACAGTATCTTCAATCTGCCATTTAAGCCCCGCTTAAACCTCCATAAAGACAGGCCTCGCTCCTTATGCTTAGCCGGGGCGCTGGTCCTTGCTGCTGCTGGCGCAAACTGGGCTGCGATGGAAGGACTGGGAGCCCCAGGGATGTTGTTATGGACTCCAGGGACGTTGTCCTCTCCAGTGCTGGGCTCCAGAGAGGGCCCTCGCTGCAGTGCTGTGGATTGGGAAGTTCAAGAGGGACGTGGGGAAGCCGGAGAGAGGCCGACGGCCTGGGCTAATTAGACCTTCGGGCTCAGGAATTTGTTCCCGTTGCCTGGCCTCCCGTCCTGACCCGTCTTCCCTTTGAAGTTCTCGGAGAAGAGGGGAAAGGAAATGAGAGCAGAGGCCCCGCTTTTCCTGCAAAAGGCCTCATTCCTTATAAAATCATTTGGCAGGAGTCTCTTCCAGCTGGAAGAGCTGGATGCTCCGCAAGACGCCTGCAGTCACTTCTCCCCCTGTCCAGCTCCTCTGCCTGCTCGGCCCCTCTGCACCCATAAAGCCAGAGGCGTGCAGACAGAAACACCACCCCGAAGAGGTAATTCCCCCGAGGTCTGTTTTGGGAGGCCAGACCGATGTCCCGGTCCGTGCTGTGCTGTCCTGTCCTGCAGCACCGGTGAGCAGAGGTGCCCGCTGTGTGTGGAGGGCAACGGAGCACAGGGAGACAGGGCAGGGAAGGAGGGAGCCGAAGGACACCTGGTGATCTGGATCGCGAGGATCCAGGTGTCCATTGGAGAGGAGACCCTTCCCTTGCAGATCCCTGCACACCGACTGCCCTCACCTTCCTGACGGGCACATGATGGACTTTTGCTTGCAGATGGTCAGATGGTGGTGGGGCTGGACGGGACACCACGAGATCCAGCGTTTCCTCCTCCGTGCAGTGTTTCCTCGTGAGCCAGGCTCAGCCAGCGCCGCCCAGGGCAGCTGGTGCCCCGTGTGCCTAGAGCTGCAGCCACTCTCGCTTCCCCTTTCGGGAGGTGAAAGGAAAACACGAGCGCGGTGGCGGATTTCCTGCGCCTCGAGGCGGTCGCACACACCTGCAGCGCTCGGGCTGGGGTTTCACATCCTCCTGGGCGCCAAAGCCACCCCATTGCCGTGGGGACGAGGGTGAGTCTCGCTGTGGGCTTGCCCCAAAGCCTCCTTTGCAAATGTTCTTGGCAAGGAATGCAATAAAATACCCCACGCTTACAGCAGAGGAGGCCATCTGAAACGACGTGACGCGGTGCTTGGGCCGTGTCGTCTTCTTATGCAGGTGCCTGGGCCAAGGGGCCGCGTTACAACTTTATTTCTGAAGCCAGGCCTTGCAGACAGTTACCATAACTCTAATATGTGTCTTTAAGTCAGAATTGCCTCGAGGCTTTAAGAAATCAGAATTTGGGGCAAAGGGCTTTTCTTTGGAAACGCGTGCCTTTCACTTCTGCAAACCGCAGGCAGGACGAAACCATGATAACTATGAGAAAAGTAACTTCTATGTAACTGGAAACTAATCGTGAAGAATGACACTCTGGTGATGTTAAAGAGAATTAATTCTATTTAACTTGCAGGCTGTGTTGCGTTTCCAGGTTGTAATCTTGGGCTGGGCTCTCGGATAGTCTTACATGAGGCAAGATTGGGTAACCTGAAAGGTAGCCAAGGGAAAAAAAAAGAGAAAAAGTGTCAGAAAATGGTGCTGTTGACATGGCAGATGGCAGCCTTTCCTCAGAACTAGCACCTCCAGTCCCTCCCTGGGGATCTTGAGCACCAAAGCAGCGGTAGCCTGTTCCCAACTATCCCAGCAAACAGCAGGATGAGCAAGAGTCCTCTCTTCAGGCAGTTTCTCCCTGATATTCCAAGTAACAGCTATTTCCTTGCCTTAGGAGATGTCTGACCTGTTTTCCATTCATTTGTCTCGTGTTCCCTCCCAAGATGTCACTTGGAGGGCACGGGGAGGGAGGACTTGCTGCTGTCCCTTTGGATGAGCTACATCCCACTGGAGAAAGGGGAGAGGAACATGGACCAAAAACACTTTATCCCACATAAAATGTTTGGAGGAATGAGCAGCTCTTCTCACCTACCTGTGCAGCTCTGCAGGAGGAACATAACAGGCTTCTCACTACCTTCCTGCAGGGAAGGCTGGGCTGGCAGGAGGAATTCATCTGGAAAGGACATTAAGGTCTTCACAATGAGCGTGGATGTGCTGGACGAGTCCCCAGGGATCCTGTCCCTGTCACCTGGGAGCCCTCACTGAACTGAGACGTGAGTTGTGGGGAGCCCTACCAGGACACCTCCTCTTACCATTTCAGTAAGGAAGTCAGGGATGAAGCCAAGCTCCTGCAGACTCCTGGAAAAGTGAGGAGGTGACTACTTGGTATTTGGCAATAAAAGCAAAGCTGTCTCTGAGCTATCTTGTGCATCTGTACAAGACCCCCCAGGAACATCACAGCTGTCTGGATGGATCAGCTTTCACCCACACCCTTGAGGAGAGAGAGATTTTCCCAAAATTTCCACCTGAGCAGTGTCTTGTTTTATTTGTTGTGACATAAGAAGCTCTAGGCACTACTTGGTGACTTAACCACAGAATTATATGACACAGACGTTGCTGTGCTCTTCCTCTGCTGCCCAAGGCATTGGTGCTCTCTCCATTGCCTCCCGGGGAGGAAGGTTTCCCTAAAATCCAGGACCAACATCTCAGGGCTGCCCTTTTTTGCTCTTTCTTGTAGCAGTTGACATTCCCAGGACAGGTTTGCAGTTGCTTTTGCAGTAGTTCTGTGTTGATGTTGGGTCCTTCTCTTGCCTCCCCTTTGCCACCCAGTCCTGTTTGTACTTCTTCCACAACATGCATTAATTGACAGTCCCTATGACAAAGGACAGTTTTCCTGTCTTAAGGTTCCTGAGTAACCTTATCTAGCTTTAAATTCATCCGTTCTTTGACCAGAGGTTTGAACTAGTCATCTCCAGAGATCCCTTTTTTTTCCCCCCTTTTTGCTGTGATTCCATGATTGTTTTAGGTTTCTTTTGCTTTTGTTCCTTTTTTTTTTTTTCTCTAGAACAGAGATTTAGAACTCGGGTGCTGTTGCAATGGTGCAGTGGGATCATGCAGCCAGGAATGCAGCCAAGGTTGAGGAGGAGCCTCCATGGATTTCCCCTCTTCACTGGGGAGCTGCGTTTCAGCCTGGCCCTTGCTGCCCACCTGAGCTATATTGTTGTGACCCTGTGCCAACCACTCCACTTGCTGTCCCAGACATTCAACCTACAGATACCTTGGAGTTGAGGACAACCATGGGGCTGAAGACCAAGACTAGGGTACATGCATCCAGTGCTGATACTGTTCAGTTATAGTCTCTGGACATACAAGAGCAAATGCTGGACAACAATTGTGGTAACCATTTTGCAAATAATTGAAGTTGTT